TGTCCTCTGTGTGTGGGGTCTGCGTGTCCTCTGTGTGTGGGGCCTGCGTGTCCTCTGTGTGTGGGGTCTGCGTGTCCTCTGTGTGTGGGGTCTGCGTGTCCTCTGTGCGTGGGGTCTGCATGTCCTTCTTCTCATAATGCATCCTGGACTACCTTTGGTAGGTATTGACCACTGCATACCGGGAACACTCTGATCCAGTCATCCAGCCATTAAGTCGCTCAGATCCAACGTAACAACTTCAAAATCTGACTGTTGACTTGCCTGATATATAATGGCACCCGTGACTGGTGCCATTGTAACGAGATAATCAATGCTATTCACTTCACCTGTCAGTGGTTTTAATGTTATGGCTGATTGGCGTATGTCTATTTTAAAGAAATGCAGAGAGAACATAAAGGTGCACAGTTAGGCAATTCAATTAGGCAGTCATTTCAGCAAAATTCATGCATCTGTGATTTATAAGCACTGTGATTCGTGGACATGTGCCACCTGAAAGTAAACACTGGGCTTTTGGAAGCAATAAACAATGATATTTCATTTAACTATTGTCACCAAATGGCTGTTTTTTTTTTTTTTTACTGGAAGAAGCCTAGAGGGGGGATGATGCTCACATTGTTTCAAAACAGAAGAGCAGCATAAAGCTGGAAGGCTAGTTTAACTGTGTCACCTCGGTAACTGATGAACACAATATGTATTCCATGCCTGAACGCTGACAAAAGCCTATTACTGAGCAGGTTGTATTAAAACCAGCTAAATGTCCCTTAATATGCAGTGTGACTCCACCACATTCCGCAGATACCTAAGTCCAGGTGAAACAAAATGGGGAGATGCTTAGTCTGAGGGGGCCTCACAATGATTTTTCTCAGACTGCTCGATTCCCCTGGTCGCCATGGTGATGGATTTGCCAGGGCATCGCAGACCTTCAGAGATTTCCCTGAGGCATGGCTGAGTGCTGGAAACAGGCTGGACATTAAGGCTGAAGCCAGGGGCGATCTGATCGCCCCTTCGGTTCGTGTCATGCGCCATGTCAATTTCCTGAGGGTCTCAGGGAAGCGTCCACACCCTGCAACAGCCATCCACACATCCATTCAACGTTGCTGAAATATTCATATTTATATTTGTAGATTCAAAAGAAGATTTGCATTTGTTCAAAAGACGATTTACATATCTTTGAAACTGATTTAAAGAGAACAAAAAAAGTCTGCTAAAACAGGAAATTACTTAATGTTATTCATTAGACGCAATGTACCCTTCAGTGTATGGTTTGAGTAATGAGCCAACGAGGCCCAGGTGATGCACTAACTGTGGAAATTCGACTTCTTCCCAAACTCTCATTTCCTGTAGAATTTGCTGGGGGATCATCCAAGCTCATGCACTACAGGTTAGATGCAACGAAGGAATACTGACAATTAGAAGTCAACCACAGAAAGCTATGCAGAAGAAGGGAATGAGCCTACGGACTGCGATGGACCTGGGAAGACTAACTACACAGCTGAGATGACTGAGAAAACTCCACAACAGAGGCTCAGAGAAAACGTTGTACTGCGATTTAACATGTAAGCTACTAAGCTCATAAAATTTATTCTCGTGGTCTGGAAATTTGGGAGCATTACATTCCGTAAATGCCAGTCTCAGCTATTCCCCACTGCATGAGATTTTTAAAATAGCATTTTAAACGACTTTCATGATTTATTTAATATTTGCCACTGAGGACCGGATATACGAACTTAACACAAAAGAAAAAGAATGCTTTATTGGAATTTGTACTAGAGACCTTATTTAGTTTAAAGAATAACCAATCATTATGGGAAATTTAACGCATGTCCTCATATGCATAATGCATTAAGGGGAAAAAACAAAAAAAAAACTTTGTGCAAAGGTACAGCGAAGCTGCAGCACTTATTAACTGCACTGTTAGAGACAGACATGCTTCAGCGCTTGTTAAGAATGACTGCATGCCTTGCGGCTGCACTTGACCAAAAACATGCGCAGCCCATCACATACGCGGACCTGACCATGCACACATGCACCGTTGCCAGCTCTCCCATACACGCATGCCTGCTAACAAAGATCACACACAGCTTGTGCACTAACCCCTTTCTGTGTTGCTAGGAAACAGTTCCCCCACTCTCTGCCTCTTATTGCCATTCTAATTTTATTTATTTTTTTTTTAACTTGGACTCATTTCAGCTGGCAAGCCTGTCAAGTCAAAACAAATGTGCACACATACTGTCACAAGTATACACATTCAGCTCATACTGTGTAAACCCTCGGAATTCTCAACGATTAGTCAGACCAGCCATCTTATATACAGTAGCATGAAAGAGAACCAAATACTTTTGTATTCAACAAAGAAATACGTATACCCAAGGAAGCCCACACTGCTACAGACCTACCCTTTAATCGGATAATTTAATACTTTTAATGAAATCTGAAACAAAAGTTAATATAAAATTTCTTTTTGCACATTAAAAAAAAATCTAAAGACATTAATATTGTAATTTTGCGATAGGCCATGACAAAGGGTCCTAGTGTATAAAATGCGTAGAAAACCAAAAATATCTTGATGCATCCAGGGAAAGAGCAATGACTCCAACTTCCTTTGAGGATTTGTTGTGGACTCAAACTCTGTGCCGCAATGACAGGCTGTGTTAATGCGCTGGACTGTCTGCTCCGTATCCCCCGGCTTAGAAGATCTTCCGCGATGCTGTGCCACGGATCTGGAAGCTGTCCTATCCGCCTTATTTACGGACAACATGCCACCAGAGACATTAGTGTTCCTTGCTGCTAATGAAGATCACAAGCGACTTCTGCGAGCTTCCTGTCAGCTTCACAGCAGCACTGGGTGCAGGAAAAGACAAGGCTGAGATATTTACGTCTGCACCATGTTTTCTGAAACAGCAAATGTGTCATGAGAGAACTTGGTCACATGAGCTCATCCATCGAGCACAGTGGCCTTAGCCAAGGCGCTTTATTATTCTGAGAAAAAAATAGGCAAATTATAATATTTTTAACATCTATATTGTATTTGATAACTTTTGAAAATGCCATGAAATTTGCGCCTCAACAATATGCAAGCAATTGTTTTAATGTGCAAATTTAATACTGTGAACCAGAGTAAAATCCAATAGGCATGTGCAGAGAACAAACTGTGCTCAATTTAAGCTGATGCTTCATTTAGACAAACGCTGTGTTGCCATTAAGTCAAATTGTTTCAATTTAAGAAAATATATATAACCAAAAACATGAACATTCTAAGGTTGCTATAGAAACCTTGGAGATTACGTTTTGCTTCAGTTGTTGTGAAAACAAAATATCAAATATAATAAATAAATAAATAAAAAATTCAAACTATTTTTCTCTTTTTTGCTCTTTGCAGCATATATTTAAATATATGAATTTTGACTTGAATGATCAACTAATCTTTGCTATTTGTAAAGATTGTGTTTTCCTAAGGGTAACATAATGGCCCAGTGTACAGTACTTCAGAGTCCAGTGGTACCACAATGACTCAGTGGTACTGTTATGGCCCAGTGAACAGTACTTCAGGGCCCAGTGCAGGCTCAGTGTACTCTGGTATTGAGTAGTTTTGGGAACTTAATGAAACAATTGTACTTCTTCAATCTAATCCATATAAATTAAAACGATTATAGGGTAAAATTACCCTATTTGTTCATCCATCCATCCATCCATCCATCCATCCATCCATACATGTTCCAACCTCTTTTCTTGGTCAGGGTTGCAGGGTGCCCATCCCAGGCAGCATAGGCACCTTGGGGGGGGGGGGGCAGTAGGGGGATGTCCACATTACAGACTTACACAGATGCAAAGACAATAGCATAACACTCATTTTGTTACATAACAGTATAAGTCTTCATCTGGGGTCTTGGTGAATCTATAATATCCATAGAATATTACCAAAAACAAAATTCTGCATGACTTTCAAAAAGGCCTACCATCAATTAAGGCATTCTACAGTCTCAATGGCTTGCTGGTTTTGTTTATGCAAAGTATGTATGAATTGACTGCTGTCACACAAAGACAATTTGACCCAGCTGCCTCTCATCTACTTACCCTTCTGTAGCTACAGTGCTTACGGCTTGCAAACAAAACAAAGCACCAGCATAGGTACTTATCTTCATAATGAGTGTATAATTCTGTTTATTTTTGCCATTACGAGGAGACAAACATGTCTGCTCTGGGAACATTTACGTCAGGGGAGAAGGTCCTCGTGTGAAATTCACAGTGCATCCCTTAGTACACAAATGCTGAGCAGCCAAAATAAAGCTAAAATCCACCACGACGAGTCCAGAACAAGGGACTGTCTTTCACTATCAGAGCTCTAAGGCCAGCAGGTGTAAGCAGAGCCTCTCATGCAGTGGAATCTGACAGCATGTGAATCTCGTTCACGTTTCAGCATGAGGGTAGCAGCAGCTTCAAACCGCTTGGCTTCACTTCGCTTCGCGTACTGCTGAGAATCTCGGGGTTCAGCTCAATGTGATGATGTCAATGTCACACTGACCCCTTTGCAATACAGGAAGAGAGGATTTCAGGCCAGAAGATTGCACTTGCTCTTATTAACGTTGGTACAGACTGCGTAACATATTACTTTAGTTCCAAAGTGGATGGATGGAGATATATATATATAGCGAATTGCAGCCTGGTTCTTCCCTGCTTCTCATTAATGAAGGGCTTCTTCCTTGCTTTATGGGACTTCAGTCCTGCTTCTAGGAGCCTCATACAAACTCTCCTAGCAGTGCACTTCACACCTGCACTTAATGCTTCCCATTCTTGCAAAAGTCCTTCTGCCCTCTACCTGGCTGGTTTCTGGTCCTTCCCAGTGTCTCCTGCTTCACTTTGTTCTTGTGTTCTGTTGTCTTAGAAACTTTGAACGTGGATGCAACCTGCTGCTCAGTGTAGCCTTCTGCCAGTACAACCACGATTAAACCAACAGAGTGCTCTTCTAATGTTTCATACATATCAAAATCTGCAGACTACTTTGGAGTTTATTACAAGACTATGAGACATTATTAATGATTATTCTGAAAATTCATAGAATAAACTGCTATGTTTTAAGTACTATAGCAGTAATACAAAAGAAGCCATTTTACATGGCATATAGAAAGATTTTTTCTGTCCTTTTGTGAATAACTTAAATGACAGCCCATGTAAATAATTTGCCAGCCACAATAAACAAGATAAAATGCATTAACATATCTATGAATATGTGACCATGGGTCATTCAGCATTCCACGGCTGTCCATACAAGATATAACTATTTAAATAATACTGTCTGTGCCAAGTACCTAAAAGTAATGAAGCGTAAAATGTAATTCACTGTCATTTCTCTGCAGAACACTGGCCTGGTATTGTTCCTAAATCCTTTTAAAATCGGAGAATGTACCCAACCAATAGTACAATAATCATTTATTTCCAAATTTACTCCAATAAACTGAGCATTGTGTGCAGCAAGAGCAGAAAGAATAAAATAAAAAGGATAATTGAATTGAAGTTATTTTTTCCCCTGACGTTTGAGTTGTGCATGACCGTGAGAGAGCAGTATGAATGTTATTATAACGCGGAATGTTGGCATGAAAACTATTTTGGAAGTGTTCAGTTTTTTCATTCTTGTAGTTAAGTTTGATTCATTCACACCCTGGTAAATACAGCAAATACAGCCTGGTCTTGAGCAGAGCGTCAGTGTGCTGTGGATAGAACAGCTCAGAGCACCGGCACAAACTCACCCGTGTACTGGGAGGTCTGGGACAGGCGCGGCCGGGGGGCTGCTGGCCTGGGCGGCTGGCTCTCTCCTCCCCCGCAGCGATTGGCTTCTCTGCACCTGCCGCATCACGCTGCTCTTGAGTTCCAGCAGTGTCGACATGTTCATTGGCTACCTGCGACAGGGGGGCGGGTACAGGGCCTGAAGCATCCAATCATGTCACAGAATACAGGCTGAAGCTACAGGTAGAAAGCAGCTTGACCAGAGACGCTCTTTGGTAAGTTTGCTGAAGGAATTCGCTTCAAATTGCAATGAAACCTCAGAACCACAATTTTTTATTTCATTTTTACTTTTTTAATGACATAATAATATAAATTTCAATTTGCATTGCCAGATACAATACGATTACAAGATCAAACACATCCACAAAACAGGCAGTTGTAATTGTGTATGTCTCTCAATGTCTACAACGCATACCATACGCTGTCCAGCACAAAGTGTTTTCAGTAACTGCTTCTCCTATTCAGGGGAACAGGGGGCCCAGAGCCTACGGGCACAAGGCAGGGAACAGTGCAGGATGGGGCATGCCACCCATCACAGGGCACACTCAAGCCACCCATCACAGGGCACATTCACACCACCCATCACACGGCACACTCACACAGGCACGCCACCCATCACACGGCACGCTCACATGGGCACGCCACCCATCACAGGGCACGCTCACACGGGCACGCCACCCATCACAGGGCGCACTGACACGGGCACGCCACCCATCACAGGGCACGCTCACACGGGCACGCCACCCATCACAGGGCACGCTCACACGGGCACGCCACCCATCACAGGGCACACTGACACGGGCACGCCACCCATCACAGGGCACACTCACATGGGCACGCCACTCATCACAGGGCACGCTCACACGGGCACGCCACCCATCACAGGGCACACTCACACCACCCATCACAGGGCACACTCACACGGGCACGCCACCCATCACAGGGCACACTCACACGGGCACACCTATGGGCAATTTTGCAGCCTCCACACACAGAGCCATGGTAGAGACTGAAACCCAGTTCCCAGAGGTGTGAGCTAACCAGTGCACTATCTGACCGCCCTTTCAGGAACAACCAGCTAAGTATTAAATTGCTTCAAAACATTGAACCAGACCTGTCAGTACAGTTACTGTCGTCCACCAAACAAGATCTATGGAAGCCACATACAGTATCTATGATTTTTCACTATTGCTGAAAAAAAACTTTCACAATTTCAAGCACATTAAAGAATGTTTTTTTGAGTTTTTTTTTGCCACCTTTCTCTGGATTCGCTTGTAGATTGATTTTAAATTGGGTTCTGACTGAGTTCTGGGGAGCATCTGGCACTGTGATTGTACATGATTTAACTGACTCGTCCAGCTTGTAGAAGACATCTGATGCGTGCTGAGGCAGCCCTGAGCGTTACTGATGAGAGGGAAATGGAAGAGGCCACTCTGAGAATCTACTAATAAAGGGAAGAATGACACAAAAATTCAGGAGAGTTTATGCATGATAAATTATATATGGACAGAACATAGGTACTGAACTACAGGTCCTGAACTGCCAAAATATAGGATGTAACAAGAAGGGAAAATTAGGTGTTTTGCTGAAGGCAGCCTGGAGGTGCAGTCGCTGACACAGCCGTACCTATGCGAGTGAGCATGTTCCCCCCTGACACAGCCGTACCTATGCGGAGTGTGCATGTCCCCCCCTGACACAGCCCTACCTATGCGGAGTGTGCATGTCCCCCCCTGACACAGCCCTACCTATGCGGAGTGTGCATGTCCCCCCTCTGACACAGCCCTACCTATGCGGAGTGAGCATGTTCCCCTCTGACACAGCCGTACCTATGCGAGTGAGCATGTTCCCCCCTGACACAGCCCTACCTATGTGGAGTGTGCATGTTCCCCCCTGACACAGCCCTACCTATGCGGAGTGTGCATGTCCCCCCCTGACATAGCCCTACCTATGCGGAGTGAGCATGTTCCCCTCTGACACAGCCGTACCTATGCGAAGTGTGCATGTTCCCCCCTGACACAGCCCTACCTATGTGGAGTGTGCATGTTCCCCCCTGACACAGCCCTACCTATGCGGAGTGTGCATGTTCCCC